ACGATCTGAATTCAGTTAGAGAACCTTTAAAAACCAGGGTTCGACCCTTATTGGGATCTTAGTTGCATACTGATGAAGACACCCAAAACATGATGAAACAGATGTCCAATATGCCCCTGTTCTCAGTGGTTATCTAACTGAAGTTAGTTTCTGACCAATCTTAATATGAATCAAATCCCTGCAAAGCAACATTTGAAAAGTTGAATTTTCAGTCAATAATATATGCCAATGCATATGTAGTTACATCGGAAGAACAGAAATAACAGCCTACGTCAGATCCTTCGAACATGTAGCAAGGACCTTCCCGTTAAAGCCGCTAAGTAGTTTAAGCTCTTCAATTACCAAACATCTGATAGACAATGGACATCGAGTAGACGCGCTGGCATCATTCAAAGTAATTAACAGACAAAACAGCTCAGATGTCTTCTTCGGTTTGCTGAGACTATCTCAATAAAACAGCTGAAACCTGACCTATGTCTCCTAAGGGAATCTGTCATTGACTCCAATTACCCTGATGACTCATCCCTTAAAAACTCTTAATCTTCTAACTTCATTAATTTATCTTTTCAATGCCACCCCCCTCAACCTCGTTTTTTTCTTTTTGACTTCCATAAGAGATAATTTTTCTTGACCTTATGAAGTTCCATATTACATCATCATCCTTTCATTTAATCTCTTGCGCAACAAATTCTGATCTTCTCTTATCTAACTATATGATTGTTACTAATGTTTTGTTACCACACTAACAACAAACTTGTTAATTAATTTTCTAGAAACTTCTCTGCAACAAGATATATATGTTCAAGTGTTGGTTTGTAGGGATTTGATTGATTGGTTACAGGGTTTTCGTCATGAGCTGACATTGGTTAGAGAACCATTGGAAAACCTGGGAGTACCTCCAGACAGCTGTTTCGTCAGCCTAGTTTGGGACTCTTCATCAGTACACACCCACCGGGATTCGAACCCAGGACCTTCTGGTTACAAGGCGAACTCGTATACCATTAAGCCACTGGGACCCGATCCAATGGCCCAAGAATTCTATCTTCGGCCAATTCACTATATAGCGTAACCCCTAGCCAATGTCTTCGGCGAGTATTTGTCCTCACACCCGACCTGCTGCACCCTACTGGTCACAACTTCTTACCCACACTTCAGCTACTTTGTCGTCCTGATGTTTTACCTCACCACGACACTCTTGTAATATGCTTGTTTATGAGACAAAAGTATGTTAAATTTTACACTGACTTTTATTTATTAAGGATGATAGGTTGTATGCAGCTGATGACAACTAGTGAAATAAAATGGATGCATGTTTTTTTCTGCACCAATGTTTGCTCTTTCTTTGCTCAAATAATATTAGTGGCTACTTCTTTTATTTTAACTTCAATACTTTCTCTGACCAATCGATAACAAAGATAGGATGTAGTTCTAATGTTTTTTTGAAATTTAAGAATACAATTAAGCATTTAACGCTAACTTTAATTTATCTTGTGAGTGTTGTAAACAGAACTCATCGTTACTGTTTCTCATGGTTTTATTCAGTGATACATTATATAGTTAAAGTATTTATTTGATAACTTTTCTAGCACAGCTTAGTATTTCATTAATAAATCAAATTATTCTCTCCTGTAATTCTGCTCTGGTTATGGTGCTCAGTTTTTAATCTTATTTCTTTTTCTTTTTTTCAAAAATACACATAATAAACATGTAGCACTTGGTCGTTTAGCAAAGATTCAAGATAGTCCTTTAGATCTAGAACCTTATACAATTGTACTACAGGAGTATAAACAACGTATTTTAAAAGTACACAATTCTTTACGTCATTCACAGGTTAGTAATAATAATAATAATATTATTACCATGATTGTACTCTAAATTAATAAAAGTATCTAGTTTAAATTCTTTTGTGTATAATAATAATAAGCTGACCTAATTGCAAACAGTAAACGTGCTGTTTCACTAAAAGTAATAGTAATGTGTATTTCACCTCCTAATCACATTGGTCTTTTGTATGCTTGTTATACCGAGTTGACACTGTGACAACCCAACCAATCACATAATAATAGCACCTTTTGTCTTATTATCATTTGTGTGTCTACACAAATTGGTATGCACTTTTTATGATGTATATTTCAATGTATGTGTTTGGAGTAGGTTTAATTTGCATCAAACTCATCCTCAAAATCTAAAGTCTTTTTGACACCATAGTAGGGTATATATTAGTTCTAGTTAGTGGCACGAAAATGTATGAGTTTGATTTTAAGCTGATCGAACGTGTCGTTGCATAGTGCATTGATTATAATGCACAAAAAAGTCTAGTGACCTAATAATCTTTTGAAGAGTATTTGGCAAACTTGCAAGTCAAGTGAGCCATCTTTGAAACAATATTATATAGAACATAAAAAAGCTGAAAGAACTGCAAAATAATAAACTGATGTGGAATTATATTTAGTTGATGATGGAATCCAGAATGCGCGGCGTTTCTTTCTGTCTAGGAATCGCTTGCTGGAGGCACCTGCATCTCCCCAAGGTGAGATGATATTTCCGCTGAGACTCGAACTGTGATAAATCGTTTGAAGTCATGGGTGCAGGATTCGAGTCTCAGCGGGGGCATCTTCTCCGTTGGTGATGTAGTTATATCCAGATAGGAGGAAATGCCTATTCTGGATTCCCCACTTCTAATCATCATCAACCAATTATATTTATATGATTATTAATCCCTTGGGTTGCGAGTGGAACATAGGACTTCAGCCACACATCTCCATTTTCTTCTATCTTCTGCAGTCCTCTTCAGACGGGTCCACGATTGACCATAATCCCTCATCTCCTCTTCGCATGATTTCCTCCATGTCACCCTAGGACGACCCAATCGTTGCTTCCCATCCGGATTCCACTTGAGCAATGGCCTGGCGCGTGATGTTATTTGAAGCCCTCATCAACGTATGCCCAATCCATCTCCATTTTTTCCTACATATTTGTTGGGTGATCGGCTCTTGGTTGGTTTGTTCTCAGTCAGAGTCTCTTGTTACTAATTATTTCTGGCCAGCTGGCTGGCCATTTGATCTTCAGTATGGAGACAACGAAGACAACCTGAAATCTGTTGGAGATGCTTTCCGTGACACGCAGTGCAAGTTTCTGACCAGTGTAGAAGAACTGACTGACTTCATATTGGTGTTGAAAATCCGAATCTTGTTCCTTATGTTGACGGGGAGTGCAGATTATTTCCAAACTGGTTTCCGTTTGGTGAAGGCGTATGTTGCCTTTTTGATTCTGGTTAGCTGGCTCTGACATCTTCATCCGTACCATCCGCATGTAGTTGAAACGATGCTTCCTAGATAAGTGGAGGAGGTAACCTCTGTTAAATCTCTCCCGTTGATGGTGATTGGTGCTGGTTGTTGTTGTTGCGGTTCGTTGATTATCAACCAATGATAATATCGTATTAATCCTCTGATATTATCGATGTGTCCGTACTAGGGGCCGATATGTCAACAGAGATTGAGCATTTTGGTACAACACAACCATTCGCCAAATACAGATTAAACTAAGAAGCAAATGAGGCACAATTAGATAATTTGATTGTCTCACCAGTTCAATACGTAACTTCTAACCAGGCATGGAGATAAGAACGAGGTTAGATCGTCACCAATTCACTCACTGATCCAGAGCTTAGTGTTTGATAATCTGTAATCGCTGTGCCCCCTAGTTGCTATAAGGCAGTCGGTGACACATTTCGTTATTTTAGGGAATTGGTTGTTTATGTATAGTGTAACTTTATGATCTTTCCATTGTAACTAGTACCTAGTACGAGTATTCATAATTTAGAACGTTACATTCATTAGGTTACTAATACACCTAGTCAGCTTGTTATTGGAAGTGTTTTTTTTAATGAAAAGAGCTCCCACAGAACCTGTATGCTAAAAGTAGCCAAACAGTCTAGTGTTGTTAGTCAAAACTTTCACCAATGAATAGTTGTTCACTGATTTCATTCGGAGTATTATTATTATTTACTTTATTCCCTTACGTTCCCACTGGAACACAGGTCTTCAAGCTAGGGCTTTGAAGTTTCGGTAGCAGTGGTGTTTATTTTTACGGGATGGGGTTGCTAGCCTCATGCTTAATCTTCCCTCTATACCAGTGTTATTACTGGCTTAGCGAGATAAAGGAGTACGTCGGCTGGAGGTAGAACCCCGAACCATATGCGTGGTTGGCGAGCATTCTACCACTGTGCCACAGGGGTAGCTTACGTGAAATTATTTATTTTTCAGCCAGAATTCTGTATCAGTTAAATCGTTGAGAACCAGATAGCACTGGATAGCGGTTTCGTCCTATTTTGAGACTCTATTATGTGCGCACCCATGATACCGCCAGGGGTCGAAACGGGGACTTTCAGATTATGAGAACTAGCTTGTCAACCAATCAGCCACTTGGGCTGGAATTGGATGATCTGTGAATTCTAATGTTGTCAACTGCCGATATAGAGCCGGTCTCACTAGTGCCTTTGATGATCATCCATTTCAACTTGACATGTTGGACCTCACTGGTCATGACATCCCACTGCAGCTTCAGGAAATCTGCCTAGCAGCTAGCGATTGATATTCAGGTTACAGGATTTGTGTGGATTTTGGATTAATTTCAGCCTGAAGGTCCCAGGCTTGATCCCTGGAGAAATCACGCATGCTCAGTGCTTAAGAGTCCCAGAATAGAACGAAGCAGCTGCTCAATGATTTCTGAATTCATGTTGGTTTGTGCTGAAAATCTTACCACTGAAATCATTCCAAAATCCACACAAATCCTATAATCTAAAATTTTTGTATTCAAGATACTGTCCACCTACATTATAGTTCAAGCAAAAAATGAAGTCCTTATATACATGATATTACTATGCTTGTCTATTTACCTTTTTTGCCTTATGTTTTTCTTTTTAGGACAGAGTCAATCGTCTACGAAACAACTTGCAAACTAAACGGATTCATTCCTGAATATATCAGCCTCATTTTCCCATGGCTGTTGTACAATATTTAAGAGGCTTAGATTTATCTGGCATTAATTTTGAAAAGCATAAAGATCTTTTAGAGAAACAAAGATTAGCTAGACGTCATCCTACTGATGTTAAAGATGACAATCTATCTACCAGCCTGCCTTCAATATGGCCATCAACTGAAATACTTCAAGATATGTGCCGTCTGCAGTGGTTAAAGTTAAAAAATGTTGGCTTAAAAGAGAAATTTCTACCAAAAGAAATAACTCGTTTAGATCAGTTGGAGAGTTTATCATTGGCACGAAATGAATTAACGTCGTTATGCTCTATTAAAGGTTGGCCAAGTGTTCTGCCAAGCTTACGAATGATAACATGTCGTAAAAATGAACTAACTAGTCGAGATGCAATTCCCCCTGATTTATTCGAGTGTAATAATCTTCAAGTGAGTACGGGATAATATTTTTCAGTAAAGTCTAAAAGTGTATATGCTGTCAACTAGAGGGGGAAATTTTTTTTTATCTAGGTTGCTTTAAATAAGATAGACTGCTGACTGACTGACTGACTTACTGGTTTCAACACAGAACTTTGCACCGATGTGCAGCAGTTCGAGTCACCACACTCCATGTAGAACACAAAGCAAGACAAGAAAGTCAAAGAAATGCAAAATGGAGACAGTAGACAGAGATATGAGGCGAAAAGAATAGTAATGTCGAAGAACAATATGGTTTTATTGGATATTATAAGTGACAAGGAGTGGATGTTTCTGCGTCATCCATTGAGAACGACTTTGAGCCATATCACCAATTTTCTCCAACTATCGGTGTTTACCGTCCCGAGGATTCCAACCAGACAGCAGTGTACACTTTTCTACGTGACTGGCTTAAACTAACTGTTGTGGATTTCATTGAGTGATGAAGCCATGTTTTGGTTTGACCATCACTAGCTAACTCTTTTCCAACCTGATCTATCCTACTTCAGCTAACATTTCCCGTTGAGGAAGGCGATGGATGGCTAGGCTACCATGCGTAACACGTGTCCTAACCATCTCAATGAATGTAACTTCACAGCCTCGTATTTTGATTTCCCCTCCTTACGTAACACTTGACTGACGCCCAACCTCAATATTGCTCACCCTATTATACCACTTCACACAGGAGATAGAATGCAGGCACCTTTGATCAAGGACAGCTAGCCTTTTCGTATCTTCCGCTTTCAATGACCATGTCTCACAACCATAAAGGAGGACGAAGCGGACTGCTGAGCACTACACACGCCTTTTGATCAACAATCAGCCTGATATCACGTCTATGCCAGAGGTGGCGTAAACTGTTATATGCTAAACGGACCTTCTTTATCCGTACAGAGATTTCGTCAGCGATTAACACGTTGGCACTGGCTCATGCAACTCCCGAAATAAACACGCTTTGCCACCTCAATGCCTATTTCTAAGCTAGGAGTCAATGTAGCCCAGTCTGTCCTGTAGCATCATGTTACATTTGACAGCTAGAGTGTATCGCATGCCAAACATTTGCAGATTGCAGCTCAAGGTGCTGAGAAGGTTCTACTCTATTTTTTATGACCGTCTTCACCTAGGAAGGAGGACTATGTCATCTGCATATTCTAAGTCAACGAGATTATTCCCTGGTGGTAACCAGTCAATTCCTGAGTCACTGAAGTCACTTAGAGTTACGTCCATTAGTACACCTGTGATGAAATTGAATATAAATGGGGATAGTGGTCATCCGTGACAGATGTCACCATTTCGGATGACAACTCGCCGTAAGCTATTACCTGGCTGCATGAGTTCGCGTAGAGTGCCTTGAGTAGTGCGACGTATTTTCTTGACATTCCTTTTACAGCCAAGCATCACCACACTACCTCTCGGTCGACAGAATTGAACACTGCCTTTAGTTTAAGAAATATAATGATTGTTGGGCACCACCGGTGAGTATGCCTATGTTCCTGTGGACTGTAGTGTGATATAGAAGTGTAATTTTATGATTCAATCCCCTGATCCCTAAATCTCTTGTTAATCGTCATATAATCTAGATGTGTGGCCCAGTAGAGTAAATACTTGACTCTCAGCTGCGAGCTCCTGAGTTAGAATCCCCTTGCATTTATGTCAACCTGGATGATTGAGCAGTGTCATCATCTCTGGATACACTAAGCGCGTGTATCATACATAGCCTGGCAAGTGAGTTGAAATAACTCAAATGACCTATGGTTTTGACTGAGTTTTCAGAATGTGTAATTCTCTTACTAAAAGTTTGTTATTTGTTATTGAATTAGTTATTAATTACTTTAATTGTGAAATTTTAATATTTTTCTATATTTTTTGTCTTCTTTCTTTTTGTTATTTTATAGGTTGTTGATTTCAGTTGTAATCACTTGACCCAGTTACCTAAAGGGATTGAAAAAGCTAAAGGCTTATTAGTATTGAATTTAAGCAATAATCAAATCTCATTGATTTCACCTGATTTATTTGTTCAATGTACAGAGTTAATGTTTTTAGATTTAGGCAATAATCGATTAGAAAGTTTACCAGCTCAACTTCGTCGATGTTGTTCACTACAACAACTTATTCTATGCAATAATCCATTACGTCATGCTCAGCTTAGATCAGTGACAGCACTTAAACAACTTGAGGTAAATGCATTTCATCTTTTTTTTTGTGGAAAGAAATTCGAAATGATCTTTTGGTTATTTATATATTATCAAAAATAAACTACATCTATATTCTGGATTTTATCAGGAAATGACATCGGTTATTTTACTAGGATCATTGATTCTTCTGTTCCTTGTTCTTTTCATTCCTTTACCTCCGAAGTGGAAGATAAGGCTTTAAGATTGAAGCCTTTAGGTTTTAATAGTCGTGGCTTTGCGTTGTTAGCCTCACGCGCAAACATCCCTCTCTTCTCAGCTTAATATTCACTGATAAGGTGTGTAAAGTTTGGGAAACATCCGGGAATCGAACCCTGGACAGTGTGCGTGTGTGGCAAGCTGTTCTACCACTGAACTCTCCACACCCTGTGCCTTACTGAATTTTCTTTTACTTGAGTGAGGTGTTAAGTCCGAGTAGTTTGATTGTAACGCATACTTTGGCGATAATCTTTCTGATAAAGTATTTCGGCTTGATTTCTTTTTCAACAAACAGGCTTCTTTGGCCATTTTGTGCTTATGCATTTCTCTCTGTGTGTCTCCCTCATCTTTTCCCTTCTTTTTTCAGGTGTTAAATTTATCAGCTACTGAACGAAGAGTGGATAATATCCCGAATGAATTAGACAGACTGGAACATTTAATTGAATTAGACTTATCTTGCAATCTATTGACAAAGATTCCCGAACCAGTTTTATTGGTATGTCAATGTATATTTATGTATATAAGGAATAACCGTAAACGATTTGTTATGCATTTTCTGTGTAATAAAACAAAAAAATACTGTGCAATGTTTTTGATGTGGTTTCATTCTCTGAACCAGTTGGTTTAATATTACGAACCTTTCATTATCCTTCTAGACATCTTCATAATTAAGCCATCCAACTGAGAGAATGCAGTCACATCGAAATCATTCACATGTGACACCAATCTTCACTGTTTATTTCAGTTTTCAATGTCTAAAAAAGAGTAACCGATAGTGTGGTATCCATATTTTCTTGAATTCTGTGTTAAAAAGTTTTCTGAGAAAAGAAACAACTACAGGTATTCATTTTGTCTTTGCAAATTAATGTAGAAGATTTTTTCAAATGTCAGGGGGTGAATTTCACTTTCAGACACGAGCACAACTTACGTGGACTGGTTAGTTCTTATGGCTCCACTATCATAGATGGCACTTAAGTTGAAACTAAATCGAATGTATTTCCTCTGATCTTTCCTGGTCTTCCCACATCGAGTTATTTTCCAGAAAGATATTTAAGTTAAGACGATCTGGTATCATTCCGTCTCTGTTGTTGCAGTTTGTTAATTCTTGCATTCTGCCTATACTTTTTTGCCGCTTCCCCTTAATCTTTACCGGGCTACTTAAGAAAGACTTTGCCGTACTGTGAAGGGCACTAGAAGCCATCAGTTGGGCGATTGGGGTGCTGCTAAACCAACTCATTAATACTATTGTAGATAGACATATGGATTCCTGCAAGAAATTAGCAAATATTCTTTTGTCAAACTCTGACCATCCCCTCTATACACAACTCTCTCATTGCATCTCATCGGGTAGAACTAGAAACAACTATAGAAAACTGTATGCTCGGACGACTAAGTACAAAAACTGCTGGAAAATGTCTTAACTACTGTACTAATTTTCACAAAATATTACTTATATTACTCTTGTACATTCAACCAGTCAGTTGTATTTTTCTTCAGTTTTATTCGAAGCAAATTAGGTTTATTATTTACTGATTGAATACTAAAATAAAAATTCATTGTTTAATAATGTTCAGGCATTTGTCTTCCTCTAATACCTTGGCTTTTTGTGTGTTAATGGTTCAGAGCTGGAATTTTCACCAACCACCCACACGACCAGGGCTCGATCCCTGGCGGATGCACTTACAAACCTTGCCTGGTTTACCAGCCGATAGATGATAAGCTGGGAAAAGAGGGAAGGGTGGGTGTGAGGCTGGCAACTTCACCTCATAAAAACAACACCAACTCTACTGGAACTTCAAGCCTTGAGCTTTTTGTTCTATTCGGAAGGCAAGGAAAATGGAAAAATATTCAGTTATGTTGTAATTCCATAAATCGTGTGTGTTCCTTTTTATTCTTTTACTCTTCATAAGAAGCATAAGGCCTCAAACGTTTGAGTATCTCAGTGGTTGCTTACGAAGTGAGGTTGCTAGTCTCGCGTCCAACCTTCCCTCTCTACTGGGCTTACTATCCGATAATCGGACCTCAGATCATGTGGGCCGGGTTGATGAGTATGCTATTGCTCAATGACTGATGCATTCTATGCATTTTATCACTGCTTGCATATCACATTGCAGGAAAGAACTATGCTGCAATAAGATATTAGTAAGTATTGTCTGTGACATTCATCTATAGATTTTATTGTTGTTGTTATTCTGGGAGTGATGGTCGTTGTTTATCCTAACCGGATCTAACTATAGTTTCATATCTCTGATATACATATAATTGACCTCACTGTATTCTTTCATTTTATTGTCTTTTCTCTTATCAAACAAACAAACAATATCAATATCAACATAACAAAAACAACACCAATCAACAAATGGAATATAGCTTCGAAGTTTACGTAAACTGCATTTAGCCCACAATGAATTATCTGATTTATCCAATTTAACCGGAGATTGGCCTAGGCTTGAATACTTGAATCTTAGTTATAATCAGTTAACTCATCTACCTACTGGATTGATACGTTTATCTTGTTTACGAAAATTATATGTGAATAATAATCATTTAACATTTGGTGGTATTCCATCAGGAATAGGGAAATTACAAGATTTAGAAATATTTGATGCATCACACAATGAATTAGAAACTATACCAGAAAGTGAGTACTTTTTTCGTTTTAGTTTTACACGGTGAACTTTCTGTTATTATGTGTGGTATTTAAATTTGAAAAATTGGTGTATGTTTTTTGTTCTGGTTTTGCCTTCTTTGTGTTTCTCTCTCCTTATTGGTGTCCATTTATCTTGAAAACGATATTGGATAGTTGGAGGTAGTCGGCAGGAAGCCTTGCACCTAGGTTTCGTGCTAGTTGGCACTCACCAGTCAGCAAGGCGTACCTGCAACCTTGAAGGAACTCATATCCCTTCTGAGATTTGAACCCGTGTCACTCAGTGCTACAGTCTGAGACGTTACCACTGAGCTATTCGGGCTCGCAATTGATCTCCTGTAAGACTGTAGTGTGTATTTTCATTGAACACTAGTAACTAGTGTGACTTGTCTAGTCCTCTGTTTGGTGCGGACTGAATTCTACCAGTCAGGTTCGCAATGTGGCTAGCATTCTAGGTTGCTCGCCATCACGGTTAACATTGATTTCATGATATTAGATAGTTGGACGCGATCGGCATGGTAACGTCTGACTGTAACACTAGGTGATGCGGGTTCGAATCTCAGAAGGGACATGAGTTCCTTCAAGGTTGCAGATACGCCTTGCTGACGAGTTCCAACTAGCACGAAACCTAGGTCCAAGGCTTCGTGCCGATTGCCTCCAACTACCTAATGTCATCAAATCAATGGCGAGCCACCTAGAATGGTGGCCACATTGCAAACCTGACTGGTGGGATTCAGTCTGCACTAAAGAAATGACTAGACACATCACACTAGTTGCTAGTGTCCAATAAAAATATCCTGAAAACGAATTTGACTTAATAGATGAAACGAGTTATCAACCTAGGTGCTCATTATTTCCCTCGGTTCAGAGTGGAACATACAGTTTCAAGTGCACATCTCCATTCCACCCTTTTATCTGCAATTGGTCTAGCTGACTCTACCATTGCCCATAAGGTGCCACCTCTTCCATTTGTCACCCTCGGACGCCCACCTTGTCGTTTACCATTCGAGCTCCAACGATATCTCATTAAATTATGTGTTTCTTTATGTCATTCTAGTGGGATTTTTAAATGACGCTATATTGTTCTACTTATTTGCCTTACCATTTCAATACAGGTCTATGTAGATGTGGTCGTTTAAAACGCTTAATACTCAATTCGAATCGTCTACTCACCCTTCCTGATGCTATACATTATTTAAAAGAATCATTGGATGTTTTTGAAGTTGATAATAATCCTCGTTTAAAAATTCCGCCTAAACCACCTGAATTACAAAAAGGTGCTGGTTTAGCCTTTTATAATATTGATTTTTCTTTGGATGCTCAATTGCGTATGATGCGTGGAAAACCAGCACTAACTACAGAAACAATTCATCATGCAAAGGTAATTTGTTTTCTTTCTTTATACTATTGATTTTTAGTCGTTTATCGATCTGAATTAAAAATTTTATTGAAGTACATTAACTTTTGTTTTAGTCGTATTGGTTCATTAATCTAGATGGCAGAGTATACAAATGACACTTATTGTTCACCGTTGATGTATTTTGAGTCAGAGTTTCTGACTTCTCAACTCTATACCCTTACTACAGAACTAGTGGTTCCTGACAGTGTCCTAACAGACTGTAAAGTGTGAAGGAGTTCATGAACCCATTATTTCATTTGTTTGGTATATATCATCAGCTGCAGTGAGCTGGTGGTTGGTGAATTGCATGCATTCATTCTAAAGAGACGCTCATCTGATATCCACGAAAATGGAACACATATAATCCTAGGGGAAGCATTGGATCACCCATTAAGTGTGAGTGTTGTACTATGCAACTGTACTTACTATCCAACTGGTTGGTTGTCAATCTTGTCTGTTAAAAGTAGAGAATGCGCGAAGTATGCAGGCACTTGAAAGTTATATTTTTCCTAGCTTTACTAATATTTGGTTAGAAGCTTGGGCTTTATCTTTTATCTGTATGTATAGTTTATCTGCTTTTAGTATTATAGAGATACAGCATGTTGCTATTCTATTTGGGATTTGTTTAAATCCTGGTTCATTCATAATCTTATATATTTCAGTGGCTTAGTAGCATATTTCTTATACTGTTATCATTCTGAATGAAATCATGCCTAGCTTTTTGGATTCGGCGAGGGTATATATAGTATTCTAGTTATTTCTTAGGTGTTTTTCTGTAAATGTATACTGTTAGGTAGGTTTAAAGTTAGGATTATGGTTAGAATTAGGAATAGGCTAAAGAACAGTGTCAGAAATACCAATGGATCTCAAAGTAGCATGACCTACAGTCACCTGAATGAATGCATCTATCGCGCATGGTATGATTTCCCTATAGATCACCTATGTAGTAAATGAGATTCACTCGTACAACACTTACGCGACAAATGTACATTGTTAATAATCCTGTTTGCAGTAGTTTTTAAGTGCATTATACGACTTTTCCGTGTCTGAATTCTGATTGGTTGTTCAAGGTCACAGTGGTTTTGGCTATGATAGTTTAACATTGCCAACTTTTGCTATAGTAATTAACACCGGTGTATTTTAATATCTTAAAGATAATTACTGTTGGAGAAATTAATTGTGAAAAAAAATATTTACCACTTCTAGTCACATAATGCAATATGAAGTTTTTTTACAAATCTAAAATGTTGAACCCTATCCGTGTATTCTGTAGAATCAACTCGCTTTGAAGTTCTCAGTACTTTTTCATTTAATTATGTTTATATCTAAGTAAAGTGAAAAATTCTTGTGAAACTTTATACATATTAAAAAGTATGAAAGATACGAACTTACAATCAGTTTGTAATCTCTTTATAAAGTATTAAAGCGTGAGCGAATATATGTCCAGTACATTTTGGCTTTCTTCTATTGTTTTACTATTATCCATTCCATTGGAAGACTAGTAAGGGAAAAGGTTATTGACTAATCACTAGAGTTCTCTTTATATTTGTGTTCAACATTGACTGACTGACTGACTGTTTTCAACGTAGAACTTTGCATAGGTGTTCAGCAGTTCAACTTGATACACCTTCTCAATGTAGCACACAAAGCGAGAGAAGAAAGTAAAGAAAGATTCAAGAGAGAGATAATAAATACAAGCGCTAGGCAAAAAGAATAGTACTATGGAAGGACAGTAGAGTTTTGTTGGATATCATAAATCACAAAGAGTGAATGCATTTGCGCTGTACGTTGAGAACCATTTTTAGCCATATCACCAACTGTCTCCAGCCTTCATTGGTTTTTACCAACCCAAAGACCCCAACCAGGAAGCCAGTGTGCACCTTCCTACATGGCTCGCTGGCTTAAACTAACTGTTGGGGATTTCATTGACTGACCACGCCATGTTTTGGTTTGACCACCCCTAGCCAACTCTTTTCCAACTTGATCTATCCTGTGTTAGCTAACATTGCCCGTCGAGGAAGGTGATGGGTAGGATAGCATGTGTAACACATTTCGTAACCATCTCAGTCGATGTAACTTCACAGCCTCGTCGATTGATTTCCCCTCCTTACGTAGCACTTGACCGAAGCTCAACCTCAATATTGCTCACCTTATTATACCATTTCATACAGGAGATAGAATGCAGGCACCTTTGATCAAAGACAGCTAGCCTTTTCGTATCTTCCACTTTCAACGACCATGTCTCACAGCCATAAAGGAGGACGGAGCGAAGTGCTTCTGAGCAGTATACACGCCGTTTGGTTGATAGCCGGATATCACGTCTACACCAGAGACAGTGAAAATCGGCATATGCGAAACGGACCTTCTTTATCCGTGCAGAGATTTCGTCCTCGATCAACTCCGCTGGCTATGGCTGATGTATCTTCACAAATAAGTGAGGTGTTCAACACGCTCTACCAATTCACTCCCTATTTCTAACCTAGGAGGTCAATGTAGTCCAGTCCTGTAACATCATCTTACATTTGGCGGGAGCGAATTGCATGTCGAACGTTCTCAGATTGCTGCTCAAGGTGTTCGGAAGACTCTGCATCTTGTCAGTGTCTTTACCTAGGAGGGAGGACTATATAATCTGCATATTCTATGTCAAACAGATTATTCCCTGATAGTAACAAGTTAATCCGTGAGTCGCTGAAGTCATTTAAGGCTAAGTTCATTGGTACATCTATGATGAAATTAAACAGAAATGGCGACAGTTTTTCCATAGTAATTCAAGATCTATTATAATTACTAACCTTAAATGCTCATACTTGACTGTAGGAATTATAAGGAAATTATTCGGTAAATTTAGATTTTGCTGGGATATCGTAAACTTTAAAAAATTGTTCATTCACCAATGGTGCTTTATTGATAGTGTGTGTTGGTGTTATTGTTACCGCGTTTCGTAGCAATACATAGAAAGGGTTATCGATAAATTCATAATTTTTCTGCCTTCCTAGTGAAGTTATAAGTATGAAAATACCTTCAGTAACATATTTCAGCTCATTAGGGGGTCATCATCTGTATACGTACACATTTTAACATTTTCTCGATAGACTATCTTTTATTAGTAACTGTGGTAGAAAATAATTTGCTGTGAGATACAATGATACTATATTCATAATTGAATGACACTCCGTGCACAATTATTTACTGCTCAGAATCATCTCAGTGTATTCACCACCGACAGGGGGAGAAATCTGAAGGAAGGTACTTCTTCCACTTACCTAGACAGCAACCTTTCAACTACCGGCATCATGGATGACGATGTTAAAGCCAAGTAAAACAAACCTTCATTAGCCTGAAATCAGGTGTGTCGATCAATTGTATTCAGCATAAGGAATAAGATTTGGATTGTCAACACTAATCTGAAATAGGTGCTTCTATGTTATAGTTCAGTGATTTGACATGCGCCTCACGAAAAGTACTTCCAACAGGCTTCAAACTTTTGTCAACAGCTTCCTTCTCTGACTCGATAGTGAAGATCAGATAGTTGGTTAGAAAGGATAAATGACAAGTAACTCTGACAACGAACCAACCAAGAACCTATTGCTGAACAAATATGCTGAAGGAAATAATGATGGATGTGACGCAGGCTGAGGCTATAGTTAAGTGACATCTCACGTAATCGTGAAGCGGCAAGTTGGGGATGGGTCGTGTGAGGAGGGAATAAAAGCTTATGGTCAATCGTTGATCTAGCTAAAACGGACTGCAAAAAACAGGGGAAAGCGGAGATGTGCTTGTAAAACTCCATATTCCACCCGGAAACCAAGTGAATAATAAAAATATGATAATTTGGAATGCATATTAAGTGTTAACTTAATAGTTTTCTTAGTAGCTTTGGTGCGACTAATAGTCTCAACGTTTTCATATGGACGTGTATTACCGTTTTTTCAAATATTTTCTAATATAACAATAGTTTTTTATCTTGGAATTCTTAACTGCCAGTGTTTATCTTAACAGTCAGAGGCATGCGCATACAAACTTAGAATCGTAAATGTCTATAGTTAATGGACAGTCTGTCTGTAAAAATAGACCATAGTTCCAAAACTCTAATTTAACTTTTAAATAAGTCTCGTGACTTAGTTTTATTACGTGAAATTTAACTAGTGATTGACACTGACAAATTATGATCGAGTGAATAGTAATTTTTTACGACAGCACATCTTGTTCAACTGATAGGACAAAATATATAATGTTTTGTCAAATATAACGTATTAAGAAGGGAATAGTTCATACTATTATTAACATGGTATTACAACACTCTTGCTGTTAGGTAATAAATGACGAAAATCGGACGCATATAATATATATATATATATATATATACATATATATTGTTGGCATTAGATGGTTGGAAGCAATCGGCAGGAAGCCTTGGACCTAGGTTTCGTGCTAGCTGGTACTCATGTCCCCTCTGAGGTTCTAACTCGCGTCACCTAGTGCTGCAGTCAGAAACGCTACCACTGAGCTATTCGGGTCCACAATTGTAATGGCTACTTTGATTGGTCACTAGGTACTAATCAATATCATGCATCTAGTCCTTGAGATGATGAAGACTTAATTCTATTACTCAGTGTGTACTGCGATGGCACTGCAAACTTGACCGATGGAATTCAGTTTGTGTTTAAACACAAATCTTTTTTCATGAGTATAGCGAAGAGTGTTTTGAAGTAAGTATGTTTGAATGCTTCGAGTAGAGGCAATAAAACTGGAAACCTAAACACTGACAATCTCCGCATAACTACCGACTGGTATATGAATCTCTAGTGCACGGAGCGTGGCTAGCCTTGGACCTAGGTTTCGTGCTAGTTGACACTCACCAGTCAGCAGGGCATATCTGCAACTTTGAAGGAACTCATGTCCCTTCTGAGTCATAGGTTCAAGGCTTCCTGCTAATTGCTTCCAACCATCTTATACCAACAATTCACAGTGCACTGTGATGATGAACCGCCTAGCATGGTGGCCACATTGCAAACTTGACTGATAGAATTCAGTCTGCCCTAAAGATAAGAATAAACTATATATATATAACTCTTATTACTAGTTGGTTAAAGTGGAAGTACTTTTTCTTTCTCCTTCTGAAAGTTGTAATAATTGTTTTATTAAATTTTGTTTTCCCGCTTAGGATCCAGCAGCTCGATTACGTCGTCTCAGAAGACGCCGAGGTGAAGGAGTTGGCAAAGACAGCAAGTGTGTTCTTGAAGGTATGCAACGTATAGCCAAAGAGAAGGAAGAGCTTCTTGAACAAAAGGAGCAAGAAGCTGAAGAAGAGACACGGAAATTGGCAGCCAGACGTTGGCAAGATCTTTTGGCTAGACCACGATTGGATTATACAGGAATATTTGACGAGGCATGTGAGCCTAATTTTTGCGTCACTTACTTTCAGTATTCTTTGGAAATGATTTTTCGATGAATTTGTACTGTAAAGTTAATTATTAAACAGTCCTGTGCTTTTGTCTACCGTAGTCTTTGTCAATACGTTGAAATCTCTTGTTGATTATGATGTTTTTCTGGTTGAATGCCCACCAGCCACCTACATAGTATGGGCTCGATCCCTGACTGTCGCACTCCCAGATCTTGCTTAGTTTACTAGCCGATGCTACGGCCCTAAAAGTTAGAGTGCAGGGTGTGCAGTTAGCAACTCTCCTCCACTTGGAAAGCAAGGAATGATAAAACGATTATGAATGGATTGTTCAATGTATCTTGATCGAAATAAGGATAGTTACTGTGTACTATCACATTAAGCGTATATGCTTTCGTAAACTTTATCAAAAATTAAGGTTAGAATAAACTGCTTTTTTCAGTGTTTCAATAAATTGGTAATTTTTGTGTATATATTAAGTTTCTGTAGATTGTTTCGTAATTTTGCGCACTTTTTTCAGCATAATGATAAGAATATGCTTTGTACTCATGTGAACACAATATAAAACAATGTAGATTTATCTTCAATATGATGTAAACTCCGATTTCATAAATGGGCCTATTATTTCTTATTGGACACTGACTAATGTCACGTGTCTAGTCCTTTGTTTACTGCCAACTGAATTCTATCAGTCAAGTTTACAATGCGGGCTACCATTCTAGGTGGTTCGCCATCACGGTGCACTGTGAATTGTTGCTATCAGATGGTTGAAGGCAATTGGCACGAAGCCTTGCCTGACCTAGGTTTCGTGCTAGTTGGCACTCACCAGTCAGCAAGGCAGGCGTATCTGCAATCTTGAAGGAACTCATGTCCGTTCTGAGATTCGAACCCATGTCACCCAGTGCTGCAGTCAAAGACCATCCATTGAGATTATGCTTATGAACTGGCTTCCAGTTATGGTGAATAACATAGTATAATTATCTATTATTATTTCTTAATTGTGGTGAACTGCATAATGCGCCAGACTGTGCGTTGGAAGCGCGGAGACAGAAGTACGCTGGACCACCGATGAGAAGACTTTAGAAGGTCTGGATTTCGCAGATGATATATGTCTAATGTCACACAAAATCGAGGACTTACAGGCGAAAAGCAACAAACTGGCAGAAGAGGCAGACAGCGAAGACAGGACTCCAGGTGAACATACAGAAGACGGAGATGATGAAGATAACCAACGAACCGCAACAGCAACAACCACCAGTAACAATCACCACCAAGAGGAGAAAGTGGACAGAGGTCACTCCCTTCACTTACCTAGGCAGCCAGCATAGTTTCAACCACAGCGGACGGATGAAAATGTCAAAACTGGTCAGAATCGGAGAGGCAAGACACTCCTTCATCAACCTGAAATCAGTTTTGGAATCTTCTGAACTCTGCCTCAGCATATAGAACAAGATTCGGATTTCCGACACCAATAAGAGGTCAGTTAGCCACTTCTTCTATACGGGTCAGGAACTTGCACTGCGCGTAAAAGAAAGCATATACATCAAGTTACAGACCTTTATCAACAGCTGCTTTCGCCGGCTCCATACTGAAGATAAAATGGCCAAAAAGAATATGTAACAAGAAACTTTGGCTGGCAGCAAAGCAACAGAGAGCCGACTGCTCAAGAAATATGTAGGAGAAAATGGAGGTGTATCGGGCATACATTGATGAGATCGTCGAATGACAGTGTACTCAATGTAGGCCATTGCTCGGGTGGAATTCAAATGGCAAACGACGAGTGGGTCGTCAATACGAAGGTGATGTGAAGGAGATCGTGTGAAGAGGCGATGAGGGTTTATGGTCAATCGTGGACCCAGTTGAAGAGGACGGCAGAGGATAGGACAATGTGAAGATGTTGTTGAATCCGTATTTCCCACTCGTAACTCAAGGGAATAATAGTAATACTGTGTGATTTTGTCAAAGTAAAAATTTTATCGATAATAGAATGGTAATTAAATGTTATGTAAATATTACTCTAAGTATTCAAGTTTAGTATTTTACACATTTTGTAGGATACAGGTATAACCCCAGGTGTACAAATCTGGGAATTGGATCAGTTTTATCCAAAGCGTGTTGAAGATGAAGTATTACAAGGTCATCTGTTCAATGGAGATTGTTATGTTGTTCTACAAACTGAGGTGAATAATAATCAAGTATTAGAATGGACTATATATTACTGGATTGGATCTCGTTCAACTAAGGATAAACAGACATGTGCAGCTATTCATGCTGTAAATCTACGTAATTTCCTCGGTGCTGAAGGTCGAACTAGGCGTGAAGAAGAAGGCGATGAAAGTTCAGAGTTTTTAGCGTTATTTGGCGGTAGTCTCGTTGTACTAGATGGTGCTCGTGGTGAAACTGGATTTATTCATGTTGAAGATGATGTTGTAGTTCCTAGATTTTACAGGTAACTGATAAATAATTATTTTAATTGTTATAATTTACTAGTGATAACGGACCGAGTATGTATGAAATCTTATAGTAATATCCTGTTTGCCAGGCCGGAGTAGGTGTGGATAGACATTTACAATATGTATATATTTGAATAAGGCATTTAGGAGACAAATTTCGCGAGATGATATCAATTCGTAGTTTCTTTACAACCGCTTTACAACTAACATGGTTCACAACAATAGTAAAATAAAATGCATGACAATTACTCAGTTATGTAAAAGAAAAGTATGTACTAATGACTAATCATATTTAAATAGGTCAAGTAGTCCATGGTAGGCGAAGATTGAAGTCTATTGTGTTTCGTACACATAGTTTAGTATGTATGAGATTAATCCAAAGTGCTTCCATCACCTTCAATAACCCTGAATTAGAGTTATATGAAATAATTGTGGAACAGTTATTAATAATGATTTTGTAACCTGACATCAATAAGTGCTTTGCAATGGATGATGCTGGATTTCTATTCAGATTAATTGCATTGGGATTTTCTGTGTTTTAATAACCATTTCGGAACATGTTCTTTTCGACGACATTGGAACATTCTATTGGTTCTACCTATATAGATGTCACCGCAGTTGCAGGTGAACTTGTAGATACAGTTTGAAGTAGAGTCCATAGAATTTCGTCCTTTAATCGTAGGTACAGGGATCGAAAATGTTCGGCAAATGAGAAAAAGAGATGCGGCGTAGAATGTGCGTTTGATGGCTGACCGAAGTCTTTGAGCTGTCAACTGCATAATCTGGTCGCCCTTGAATGGTAGGTTAGTAAAGATAGCTTTCTTTGGTACAGAAGCTATCTTTGCGAGATGTGGTTTTTCTTTACTGTGACAAGTGATGAAGTTCTCCGGATAACCATTAGCTAATAAAACTGAATGTATATGTCGAAACTCATCCATCAATGTGTCACTCGTGCATATTTTTCGGGCCATTGAGAACAAACATTTCACTAGGGGACGTTTATGCTGGATAGGAACAAAACTGGTGAAATGAAAATATTGTCCACTCCATGTCTGTTTACGAAAAATAGATCGTTGAATCATTCCATCGTCTCTCCTGGTCATTGAAATATCCAGGAACCTGAGTATCTTATTCGATTCGAGTTCGGAAGTTACTCGGATATTTGGATGAATATGATTAACTAAAGTAATAGTTTTCAATAGACTTACTATTATTACCAACAATGAGTTTATGATCCACGTAAAGTTCATATAGCATAAATT